AAAAGGCTGACTTCTGCATCAGAACAGGAAGTTAGTTAACTACACTTGTTAACTAACTCAGTCCTCATGGACCAGGTATCTAACAGACGTTTGCTGCCCACCAAGTGTCCCTTTGCTCCCAAAGGTTTCTATTCTCTCATACTTAGCTGAAACCACATGTCTAGTCTTGCTCGATGGATTGTGTCAAAGAATTTAAGGATTGGCAAGTGTATCTGTCATATCCCTCTTTTCCTTTTGTGCAAACTTCAAAAACATGTTTTCCTCATCTACATCCTTAATAAGGGATCATCCTTGTCAATCTCAGTCCCTGATGGTCTATAAAAGAGTCACCCACGCTTCTACAAGGACCATGCACAATCCTTTATGAGTTATAGTGTGAATTGAAAAGAAGTTTGCTAGTAATTCTGAAAGTCAAATGAACTTTGTCATCAACCCCAAATTAAATTCTGGGAAAATTTATGTATTTTAAATGTTAATCCCATGAATGCAAAGTAGTTCATATAACTGATCACCAATAATTTTGATTTCAAGCATATTCTTTGACACTTATTTTCCATGAGATCAATCAAGTTAACACCCAATCAAATACTTTATTATTTCACTGAAACATGTCTTCTTTTGATAGAACCTTTCATTATCCTCAATATAGTCACTCCCTTGAAAACTACATTAATAGTTTTGTTATTTAATTTTCAATGCTTGCTTTCACAATGAAACCTAATACAGATGAGTCTCATTCAGCCATGTCTGCACCTGCAAATGAGTGACTGATAAGAAACACCACAGAAGGCTGATTGCCCTCAATTCTCATGCACCCCTGTACATTCCTTCTTGTTTTATATGCAGTCCCTTGACCATTGTTTCTCACACTGTTTACTTCTCTCTCTTTCAGAGTAAGCACGTATTCTGCCTTCTATCCTGTAACTAGGAATAAGCCATCTGCAACATCCCTTAAAATGAATCTTCTATTTGTATTTGATTGTATCACTTCAAATTTACTAATAAATATGGCTTCAGATTTTTCACACTTTTTTTTCACTGTTCAAAGTGTTATCATTATTGAACCTCTTTTTATAAAAAAAACCCACTATGTAAAGACAATCAAGGTCAGAAGAATTTCCTTGGGTTGGTGATATGGTTTTGTGAGTTGGGGTGCTTCAATCCTTAGAATCAACACAGGAAAGAGAACTGACTTCCATAAGTTGTCCTTTGTCCTCCTCATGTGTAACAAGGAGTATATGTGTGTGTGTGTGTGTGTGTGTGTGTGAGTACATGTTTGTGTGTGTGTACACACATTATCTATTATCTATCTATCAATCTATCGTCAATCATCTATCTATCTATCATCTATCATCTATTTTCTTGCCTTCATCAGGTCATGGCACATTTTGTTTTATCATCAAAGTAGAAGTCAAAATACCACTTATTGAAACCCAAGGAACCATATAAATATTCTTCAAACTCTTCACTATGTTCATCTTCTTTTCAGTATAGTGTCCTTAATGTACCCCAAAAGGCCCCTGTATCCTGGTCTCTAACTTTTCTTTGATTCTATTATTACTTTCTTTCTCTATTCTTCTTCTGATTTACTGGTGCAAATCTCCTGCTGTTTTCTCATTCCAGGAGAAACTTTCTAAAGGGCTTTCAGATACCTCATACTATTTCTACAGCATTCTCTCACAGTGTACACTTAAATCTTACCTGCCAAGATGGCTTGGAAGATTGTGTCCTTCCAAGTATCATGTTGAGATTTAATGATTCATGCAAGAATAAAAATTTTATAATTGCTTAAAAAATAGACAAAGTCACAAGTGCTCCATCCTTGGGAATATGCCCAATTCCCCCGTGAAGGCATCTCAGAATTGCCACCTCATGAAGACACATTGGAGGCACTATACAAGGACCCACAGAAGGCCCTCTCTGTGGAGGATAGGTCCTCACATTTTTGCTCTAAAGTCTAAAATAAGTTGCTATAGTAACAAGGAAAGACTATGATAGCTTCTAAGTCTTCAGTCATACTAAGTTAATATGCCCATTCTTTTGGCAATCTTATGAATTAGATACTATCACATAACAGTGTTGATGAAAAACATGTAAGATTGCATTTCCTACTAAAAAGGAAAAAAGGAATATGTTACAAAGTAAGGAGTAATTTTTACCATTTCTCCTTAAGTTTATTGCATATAGTAACATATTTAATCATTATTAAAACTATTATCAATACATGGCAAAAATTTGAGTCACAACATCAATAAAGTGCATAGATAACTGAGGAAGTTGCTTTTAATCAATACTGCTTCTATTACAGTCTTCAGGCTGTTGATATTGACACTCAGTAATGAACAGAGACACTGTTCCTCATAAATAGGTGCTCGTACTTGGACTCTGCATATGATTTTGGTGAAGTCTATTTTATAGGCCTACATTAATTTGATTATTATGCTTTAAAGTAGTGAAATTTTCAAGTTAAAGAAAATATATCTTTGACTTACTGGAATTTATGATATTTTAGTTCAGAACTTTTATAGCTTTCCCCATTCATAAGTGCTTGTTGATTAAGGAATGCTTGCATGACTGCAGATAAATTGATGTTTAAAATTGACACAAAAGTACAACATTTGTTGATGACTCAAAGCAACTTTTAAAAACATTTTGGCATACATGTCATTTTACCATTTATTAAAGACAAAAGCAAAGCAGAATACTAGTGAGATGCAAGTGTTTGCATCTTTCTTTCTTTTTAGATAAAGAATTAAGGCTTGATATCTTCAAATAAAGGAGACACTGCATCTGAAACAGTTTCCAAAGTTGGTCAACATTCTGATTTTCTCTTTTCTTTGAGAATTTTATACAATGTGTTTAGATCATAGGTGTTACTGCCACTCCCTGCTCCTCCCAACTCTCCCAAGATCCATCCACCGCTGTTGGGTAGTTTTTTCTTTGCCTGCCACTTTGTTTCCCCCCTCAGCCGCTTGGGCTCTACCACAGTTGCCATCTCTGCCAGCTGTTTGAACTCCCAAGTAATACGCGGGATGATATATTAAGTATCTAGCTGTTGGCTCTTTGCTTGGTTTCTTACTGGCTATCTCTGACTTAAGTATTTACTCCATAATTGTTAATCTAATTATTTCTCTTACCGGAGAAAGGGTCTGGACTTTATATTCCTCTGGAGAGTACATCATGACTCCCTGTGTTTCTCCTTCCCAGATCCTCCTCAACTCCTAGTCCCACCTATCTTGCTTCCCTATTGGCCAACAGTGCTTTATTCAACACCCAATAAGAGACAGATTTCAGAATGACATTTCCCATTACACTGCCCTTTGTCCTTCTTGTGCTGCCCAAGTATTCTTGATGTGTGGTCTTCCACTGGAGCCTGGTGTATGTACCCGTGGCTATTCTTTTAGAAAAAGTGATATTGCCTCTCCTAGCAACTAACAGTCATCAATAGCTCCACAGCTGAAGGGACTGAGGGAACACAGGGATTGTATGCCCAACAGCTTTCTCCACATTGGATTTTGGTTTTGCTCTGCCTTTTACAGGATTTGTACATGCTTTTAGGACCACTGTGAGTTAAACTGACCCACTGTGTCCAGAAGATGATGTTTTCAATTGTCATTCATTGCTTCTGGCTCTCATACTCTTTCTGCCTCCACTTCTTCAATGATCCCTGAGCTTTGGGTGGGAGAGATGAAGTACATTTTGATTTTTAAATGTTCAATACTGAGAAGTCTGCCTTGTACAATTATGTAATACAAATGACAGGAGACTATTTTACAGCCAATTAATGAATTGTTGGAAATTCTATCCTAATCTCAAGTCAGCAACTCCAATGGTGTTTGAAAAACTTTACTTTTTAGTACAATTGAACCCAAACATTTACAAATATAATATATTCTGAGGAATGGTGATAGAAACATATTATGTTTGTCTCATTGAATTAAACTGCTACATTTCTATAAGAACAGAAAGCCATGTATGTATAGTAAAAGCCCTGCAAGTCCTAACACACAAGGGTAAAGTGTATATGCACAGGACTGACTTGAGGTCTTAACATGTGACCTGGGGAAACAGTGCCAAAAGAACCTTACACTCATTATGTACTTGATTTTGAATTAATTTTTGATCATTTTGTGTTCAGAAAACTTTTACTGTTTCCAAATTTTCATGACCCCCACATTCATTTACACAAACCCATGTGGGACCATGAGCCACAATTTAAAAACAAATGGCCTAGGCTAATGCTGTGAATTTTGAGCACAGTCCTGGAATTCCCACAATGTTATATTTTTTGAATGTCAACATAGAGCTGTTTCTGAAATGTCAATACATCCCATCTAGAAAATACAAATTTCCAAGTACATTTATGTTTTATTTTGAGATATCTTGGAATTCTTGGGATAGAGATCAACTAAATTCATTTATGCTTTAATAAATGTATCCAATCATATGTGATGGCTAGTCATGGCTTTTTAAGGTAGGGAATCCAGAGAAACACTGAAAGATAGAAATGGGTATCATAAACTTCTGTAATGACAAGGACTTACTTCTTATGATTCTTTTTCTTTCATATGATTTGTTTGGATAAAGTAGCTAGAAGTTAGCTATTATTGATTTTAAAATATGGCCTTGCAGGCATAAGGCACTGGATTCTGACTTAATTTTTGTTGTCACTTATCTTTGGTCTTATTTTTGCAGCTGCAACCCCACTCTTCATGAATTATCATAGATAAAGCATCCCCAAGTTCTCCAATGTTTTCATGTACCACTTTGCTTAATGTCATTGTCTTTACTTATGCTTTATTTTCCTCATTGATGTCTTATAATTACAGAATTATCAGTCTGTTAATTGTTCCTTGTTCTGCACTGTAAGTTCCATGTGAGGCTAGGTTATTATTATTATTATTATTATTATTATTATTATTACTATTATTACTATTTCTCTATCCCAGTAATACAATAATATTGTCCCTTTTGCGGAATAAACAGGTGATTGAATAAAGTATTGTATATTTTTGACATGCAAATTATGAAAATCATATTAGACATGTATGCTAGAAGAATTTTAAAAACCCTTGGTTATATAACTTCGTAATTACATTCACTAAATTTGTGCCTACAGTAATATGTGTTTTGTAAAATGAGCAATGTAGGACTCCTAATCTAGCGACAAATTCATTGTGTTATAGTGAGATAGACACAGAAATGGACATATGATTCTGCATTAGAGATTATTCTTGTTATCTTTATAAAATTTTTAGTTTAGTTTTATTTATGTAACTTTATGGGTGTGAGTTGCCTGCATGTTTGTATGTGTACCCCATGCACTCACAGTATCATACTTGCATAAAGGCCAGAAGAGGAGAGAGTGTCATATTCCGTGGAACTAGGCGGTTGTGAGTTACTGGGCAGGTACTGGTAATAATGGAACTGAGTCTACTGGAAGAACAAGAACTCTACACTGCTGAGCTATTCATCAAGCTGGTGTTGACTAAAAGATCTTTCCAAACGATTTTTGTTCTTACAGAATAAACAGCAAAGGTAGAAACAAAATAACATTCTAACAATATTGTCTTGGCATTTCTTTTTCCATTTATTTATTTATTTAACCTTTTGCTAAATTTATTCTTTCATAATTTTATATATGTATATAGTACATTCTGGTTATTATAATATTCCAGTTAGTCTCCCTCTCACTATTAACTTTTCCCTTTTTTGCTACAAGCCCCCTTTAAACATTTAATCCTATCTATATATCATCTACCTATTTGTTTATATATCATCTACCTATCTGTATCTATATATTTATATATTTGTGTCCATTGAGAGTAATCAGGACCATCTCTATGATGGGGACCATTTGTGAGACCATAATGGTCTTCTCAATAAGAAATAAATGAAGTCACAAACTATTTCTCCCCCCAGAATCCATCAGTATCCAGCAGTTCACCTGGAAGAAGAAAAGATTTCATGAGTCCCTCCCTGATCACTTATAAACTGTCCATAGACATAGGCTGTTGAAGAGCTATTGTATCTATCCAGAGTTAGTGGAAGTCATGACTCAGATGGCTGATGCATACAAGGAACAGCACCTCACTGTTTCTCTCTGTCTTCTGTTTCTTGCAGTGTTTCTATTCCCTCTTCTGTAGTGATCCCTGAGACTCAGAGCAGGTGACTTAAATATCCTGTTTATGGCTGGATGCTCAGCCATTGCTTATCTATATGTTCCTTGAAACATCTCTGCATTCGCTGCTGCTTATTTCAAAGAGATTTTATTTGTCTGAGTATTGCTTGCCCATGAGTATAAGTCTTTAGAGAACATTTTAGCAGAATTACACATGGCCTAAACAATGCCTTAAACTTCTTGCCTGGGACCTAATACCCTGTAGCCATGCTTCTTTGACTGGGTTTATACTAATGGGTTTGAATTTTCTCTTGTAGGGGGTGTCAGACAAGATTTATTGGTTATCCTCACAACACTCACAGTATTTTTGCATGGAGTGGTGCCTCTTGCTTGGCAGATTAGTGTTAAAGGTCATAGGTGAAAGATCAATGAGAAGGAAAGGCAGACTAGCAGCTGAGTTAATAAAGATTGTTCAGACTCTTATTTTGGGGGCAAAAACATTTAGAGGATGTCTATAACAATAAGAGCCCACCATCCACTTATGAGCTAGGGTTTTATAGGGCATAAATGGAGTGGGCTGAAAATTTCCTGCTTTTTTCTTCACCTGTAGTTGGCCCTTGCTAGGAGAAACCCGTGAGTAGTCAGTTAAAGAAAGGTGGTAAACAAGAATCTCCGAACTGGCCATTCTTTGGAATCCTTAGGTCAGGGAAGGCAAGAATCTAGAGAAACAAGTTAGCTTATATCTAGGAACCTAATTAGTGTAGTTTTAAGAATTATCACAGTTCAACCAAAATGGAAGAGTTTTACAAGATGGAATGGTCCTTGCTCACAGTAAGGTTTCTGTCCAGCCTGTCCAGGTAGGGCAGCGTGTCCAATACCTTTTGGAAGTATTGAAGCTAGTTGGCAGGGAAGAAGTTCTCCATTCTGTTCTAGCTTGATTTCCTTATGTCAGTCATCAATTTTGTTTCATCGTGGCTATGTATTTGTTTTATCAAAGACTATAATGCTCTGAAAAGTAGAAGGGAGAAATCAAACTTATTTTAACGTATCAAGGATTTAAATTCTTAGAGTGAGAATGTGCATTTTATAAACTGTTGTTGCTTGCTGACATGAAAGAAAATGAATGCATGTGTGTATGTGCATATAAACTAACAATATTTATGAAATACATATACACACATATGTAATAAGTTCATTAAAATTTCAAATATACTAAATTCAAGACTCATGACACTTTTGGAGAACATATACTTCAATGTTTTAGATTCACTTATTTTATGAAGCTGTATTTAAAGACTGATATATTTCCTCAGGCTATGCATAACTCAATCCGTTTTGAACTACATTTGTGTTATAATATTGGCTATAACAAATTGGCTTTGGATCAAAGAACTTAACATCTCATCATCCTGAAGCCAGTAAGTGGTAGAAAGTCTTTTCAATAGCACTACAAAACCCACTCATGTTGAGTAAATTATATACCACAGAAAAACATTTTTCCCTAAAGTTTTAGATAACACAGTGGGCACAGAAATTCCATCAATTTGGTTTCTTCATTCGAGTAAGTCTGTAATATCTTTTCTCTGCCAATCTTTTGTATAAGCCTCAAAATCTATTACTCCTCCTGATTCGAAATGAGACATCACTACATGATTGTTCAGCAAGATTATGAAATTGAGTGTCAAGCAGCAAACAAAGCAAAAGAGAATACTATTTGAAAATACACAAGTGTCAGCATTTCTGTATAGTGCTACAGAAATTTTCATACTACTCAGACAAATTTATTGCTACAATAAAAAATATATAGCAATGCTGTTTGTATTAAGACTTAAATGGGTTAAACCAAATCAGGCTAGATACATTTTGAACATTTTAAAAATGATTTTCTATTGAGAATATATATAGGACTTAAGATTTCTGATTCATCCTGGTAACAAGGAAAGAAATGTTTGGCTAAGAATGTTAAGACCGTTATATTCTAACTATGAGACTATTCCATAGTTACACTTATCAGTAAGTATGACCCACATTTTATTTCCCTCATAGTGATCATTTCCAGTCCCTTAGCTCTGCCTTTCTTTGGCGTCTACTTTGGAAGAGTAGGAATTTATCTCTTCCGTGAATAACAATAGTCTGGATGGGGGGACATGAGAAAAGTGGAAGGCAGTAAACATATGTAAAAATCTGCCTTTCCTCCATCCCAACAGCTGTCAGTCACTGGATATCCCCAACATGACAATTCTGAGAACAAGAGCCATGTCTGTTTGCTTGTCATCTTCATAGAGACCTCCCAGCAGGCAGGGTGAAAAGACTGTCTACCTGGTATATTCAAGCTTGAGAATATAGAGCAATAAGAATAGCATTATGCAAATTAACAAGAATGGCAGGCCATTCCCTTCACTGATGGCTTATTTAACACAAGCAACTTCAGTGACTAGGAGCACAATGGAGATCCCAGGGGAATTAACAATCAGCTTGTGCTTCATCCTTAACTGTTGACTGAGGCATGTGTCTTTTACTCTTCATTGTCAAAAGCATCCCAGGCTGGATGTCAAACTCCACAGGGTCAGACAAGCCATTGTTGCTTTTTTCCTTTTAACAGATAAGATTGCAGAACTATTTATTGTTTTGCTTAAAGCACACACTTTTCTTGTTGTTGTTGTTTTTAACATTCAAATGCTTGATTGACAGTACCCAGGGAGGTGTCATAGTTTCTATTGCAATCACTGTTGACTACTTGAACAACAAACAGGTCCTGATGATACTCCCCAAGTTTCTTTAAATAGCTGTCAGTGTACCAACAGGATAGCCTCTTATAGAACTCACTTTGCCAACAGCTTTATACATCATCAACTGATGCCTATTTGAAGAGCAGTAAGAAAGAAGAGAGCAAATGAAGCAGGGGAAGAAGGGAAGGAGAATAAGTTCATTAAGGGTCTTCAACTGAAAGCAGCATGTGTGGAATGTCAATTTGAGAATAGAACTGACAGCTTTTCGTACGGTATCATTTTGCAACAATGGCTTCTTTGACAATTTATAAAATGGACGCTTTGTAGATGTTACTGAGTGGCACTGCATACATTTGTGAATGCCCTGCATAACTAGCATTCTCCTTTCCACCACATTGCCAGGATCTGTCCCAAGAGCCTTTTCTTCTACTGATCCAGAGAACTGGCGTGTGGGGACTGAGTGAAGCCACTTAAACCCAAATAGAGTAATGTTAGAAAATCATCATTGCCTAGTGAAGCCAAAGGGTTAACCAGACTGTAAATTCTGCTAGAAGATACTTTGAACCACATCACTGTACCAACATTAATGCCACAAACATCCAACAATCCCTAACTTTGTGATAAACATAGTATAGACTCCTTCATTATTCTACGTTAAGCTTAGTCTTTTGATTACATATAATAAAATATAAAATGATGTAATATAATTCGTATCTGTGTATATATTTGTCATTCTCAAGAGCTGAAGAAGACAACACTGTGGATATCTAGAAATGGGAATTTTTAAAAAATGCATCTAAATAATATACATAATATCATAATATTTATGATATGTATATTAAATAAAGAACAGTGTGGTAAGCAATAAAAATTTCTCAGCACAAATATCTTAGACAAAATTATTAGACACTATATTTTCAAGCATTTTCATTTGCTAATTAGAATTAAACTAACCACAGAAACAATGTTAAGATGTACAAAATTTATTCTTAAACAGCACAGATAAAGTACATGTTTAAATTTTTCTCATTCATTCTATATGTTGGAAATTATATATTTCCTCATTTTGTCAATTTTATCACAAGTTGTTATGCTTGAATGAGCAGATGCATAATAGCACTTGAAACAAAGATGACAAAAGATTCTTATTCTGATTATTACAAAGATGTGGCTTATTTTTCTAGCATATATGTGATATTGACTGGGATACTCAACATTTGTATATACATAAAACTATATATATGTATATATATATATATATAAATTCTGTTTTATAATTTTAAAAAATAATGACAATTTTGTTCACTGTGCTTCCATTAAAACTGCATTATATATAATGTATTCATGGTAAGAACAGTTATCTGTATTTTTCAGTGAGAGATGGGAATATATCCTTTACTTATTTTGAAAGAGAGATTTTCTTTTATTCACTGTTCCTTTTAAAAATGTTGATTTTCTGGTAAAGAACAGTATTATAGTGTCTCAAATGGTGTAACAAAAAGATACATAATTTTTTCAGTGGGGGTTATTTCATCTTATAGTTTATAGTATTTTATGAAAGGAAGTCAGGGCACAGACCTGTTTTTATTATGTTTAATGAATGGAAAATGGTTATAAATATATTTTCTTTTATTGAAAATAGATGTCTTTTCTCATATAATTCTCATATATTTGTCATATTAATCTCTTCTGATTACAGTTTCCCCTCGTTCCACTCTCCCAGTCCTCCTCAACTCCCTTATACACAGATCCACTCCTTTTCTGTCTCTCATTAGAAAACAAATGGCTTCCAAAGCTAACAACAAAAATAACAAAATATAATAACATAAAACAAAATTAATGCATTGGAATAGGGCAAGACAAACAGAAGGAAGAGAGCACAAAAGAAGGCACGAGAAACAGAGACCCATTTGTTCACACATTCAGGAATCTCATGCAAACACTGAACTGGAGGCCATGATGTATACACAAAGGACCTGTAGGGTAAAATGGAGAAGAAAATATTAATGTAAATAAATACACAAAAATTTTGAAAGAAGGAAAAGTCCTTACCTGACCTCTAAAGATGTCATTGAGTTGATTTTCTGTTGGCTACCTACTAAGGGGCATGTAGTATATCCTTAAAAGTAGTTTGTTCCTCAGTGAGGCATCATTGGAGAAAACTGAAGTTTCATTTGCAAGTAGTTACTGATTGGAGATTGATTGTGGGTTCAGATGAGGGCTTGTGTTCACTTTGCCTTTCAGGTTTAGCGCCCTATCTAGTACAGACCTGTGTAGGGTCTGTGTATGCTGCTTCAGTCTCTGAGTTCATATGTGTGTCCATCATATTGATTTAGAGGACCTTGTTTTCTAGGTGTCCTCCATCCCATCTGGTTCTTACTTCTTTCCACTGTCTCTTCAGAAGGGGTTGCTGAGACCTGAGGGGAGAGATTTGGAGAGACATCCCATTTAGAGGTGAGTGTTTGTAGGTCTCACTCTCTGGATTTGTTCTCAATTGCTACAGAAGGAACTTTCTCTGATGATGGCCGAGTAAGAGACTGATTATAAGTCTATGTTGTTATTAGAAGTCATTTTACTGCTATATATGTTTTTTCAGATCAGCAATATTTGGTTCTATCCTATATTTTTATTGCTTGTTTTTAAACCTAGGCTACTGGGATATCTAGCCTCAGGTTATTGGTCTGGGCACAGATTCCATCTTAGGGACTGGGCCTTAAGTCAGATATTTGTTGGTTACTACCACAGGCTTTTTGGCACACTGTCTAACATATCTTTCAGAAGAATAGTACTGTAAATCAAAGGGTTTGTGGATGATTTGGTGTTTACCTTTCTATTTTGGAAGCATGCTGAGTATCTCTTTGTACCAAAAAAAACCTAGGACCTAGGGTTAATATTCTATGTAGGCAGCAGCTTGGTTTCTCCATGGTCAATGAATTGTGTAGAATTTTTTTTCAGTAGTGGGGCCTTGCTATCAGTTTGTGGAGAGCAATGTATGATCTCGACAATAGTCTGGGTTGTTTGGGGATTCCCATGATCCCATTGGTCAACAACTCAATAAGATGTAACCCAGACCCCAATAAGATGTAAACCAGACTGGCAGTTTCATTTGTTAGCAACAGATAGCCAGTTGGGGATCTGTATCACTTATTATTTGGCGATTTTATTTGGATCACCTTCACACATATGTGTGTGTGTGTGTGTGTGTGTGTGTGTGCACGCACACGTGTGTATGAATATATATTAGAAAGATTCTACTGTATTACAATTTTATCCTACCTCTTAAATGTCTCTTAGTTTTATCTGTCTCACCCCACATTTCCTCTGTCGCTACATCTCCCTCCCTCTCTTCACTTACTTCTCCCGTTTAAGTTCCCTTACCCCTGCAAATCCATCCACGTATGTATATTCTGGTTCCCCTTCCTAAGGAGATCTCTCTGTCCCATTCCATGTTTCTTACTCTACACCTAACTCCTGTTTTTCTATGGTTGGTAATTTTATTATCACTGACTTACCATCTAATATCCACATCTAAGGGAATACATACTATACTTGTCTTTCTGGATATGGGTCACCTCACTCTGGATGTTTTTTTTCCAGTTTACATCCTCTTACCTGCAGATTTCTTTCTTTTCAACAAATGAGTAATATTCCCTTGTGTCACTGTATTACGTTCTCTTTCTTTATCTATTCATGTGTTGAGACACATCTAGGTTGTTTCCAGTTCCTGACTTGTATGTATAGAGCAGTGATGAATATGGTTGAATAAGTGTTTCTGCTGTAAGATGAAGTATTCTTTGCATGTATAACCAAAAGTGGTGCAGCAGATCTTTCTAACGAACTGTCACATTGACTTCCATGGCGGCTTTACAAGTTTGCATTCCGATCAGCAAGGGATGAATGTTCCCTTCTCCAAATTCTCAGAAGAATGATATGCCTTTTGATTAACTGATCTTATCCATTCTGAAATCTCAAAGATATTTAATTTGTTGTTGATTATCATTAATACATATAATGATATATAAATATATATAAACCATTGAACTAGTTTATGTAGCACACAATTATTTTTAATTTATTCTCACAGTAACTCATTTAAACAGTATTCAGCATATTACTATGTGTAGGATTAAATTTAATTTGGGATGAAGTCAAGCTTCATATAAGTCTACAGTTAATACAGTTTTAAAGGGGGAAGGAAATAATAATAATAATAATAATAATAGCAATAATAAATTCATGTAGCTAATGTTTTCATATAACATAGAAGAACTAAATACCCACAGTTAAATGGATTCCCAAATTTTGGAGCCAAGTTTCTATTAGTGATTACAATAGAGAAAATCTTGATTAAATTTCATCAATTATTGAATTTTTAAAAATCACAGCAATAAGAGAAATCTTAAAGATTTTAGCTATGAAAATTCCCAGGTTTTATTGATTGCTTCCTGAATGCATGAAATGTTTCAAACCTGGTGAAAACATTGATATTTATGACTTTGCTTTTGAATACATTTAATGTAAATGGGGGTAGAATGCATTTGATTAATAATCATTTTCAATGCAGAATCTACTTCTCTAACTTAATGTAATTAATTGAAGTATAGTGTCCTTAGGGGTATGTAAAAAGTTAAAAAGTGTTTTTTAATTATATCTTTTTATTTTTTTCCTTTTTTAAATTTTATTTAAATTAGCTTTCTTTATATGTCAGTCCCAACTTCCTCTCCCTCCCCTCCTCCCTCCCCCACCCCTGTCCCACACCAAAACTCCCAGATTCCCATCCAATCCCCACTCCACTGTCCAGGGAAGGTGAGGCCCTTCATGGGGGATCTCCAAAGTCTGTCATATCATTCAGGGCAGGGCCTAAGTCCTCCTCCATGTGTCCAGGCTGAGAGAGCATCCCTCCATGTGGAATGGGTTCCCAAAGTCCATTTAGATGCCAGGAATAAATACTGGTCTAGTACCCTAGGCCCCAAAGATTGCTGAGGCCTCCTCACTGACACCCACGTTCCGGGGTCTGGATCTGTCCCATGCTGGCCTCTCAGTTATCATTCTGTGGTCCATGAGCTCCCCCTTGTTCAGGTAGTAAAGAAACTTTACTTTCCCACTACTTATTCATGCTACTGTGGCATTTTTATTCAGTGTGTAAAGAAAACTGTGAGATGATACTACACATTGAATTAATGATTATCACTGCTTCTATTAAAATACATTAATCCAAGATCATGTACAGTAAGATGTATATTTGCTGTCTGTATTGACTTTTCATACAATCTGGGGTAAAGTAAGCTTTCACCATTCCATATGTTTCTACCATAATTTTTTGAAAACCAGCATTTCTTCCTTGCATGCTTGGCAAGCACATTGAATATTAATGGAGTTGAGTTACCATCATTATTAATTATGCTATGTAGTTTCAATATTTTTTAAACAAATACTTTGTTGTTAATGGAAATAATTGCTACTGGTGTTTGCATAGTTATTTTCTAACTTATGGATCTAGATAATTTATGTATTCTAACTTTGTGGGCTTTTAGAAATGTTCTAAATATACGATCATATCATTACAAATGGACACTGACCTGTGAATCTCTGTGGCTATTCAGCCTGTGACAGAGGGTGATACCCAAGTAGAGTGAGAAACTTGACCTAAATGTAAGATGGAGAACAGTAGAGGAAGATTCCCTATGTTCTCTTCTGGCCTCCACATTCATATATATGGATGTATGCATAGTCATGCATATGTATACAAGCACCTCACACATGTGCATGTGCCACATAAATGTATTTCATCCACACACTGAAAGGAAATGTGTCATCCTTATAATTCATCTGTTGTAGAATAATTCACCTGATATCTTTAAGAAGCACATGAAACCAGAGTGGATGCGGTGAATCCAACAGAAGGGAAGGGCAGTTGTCACTCAGCTTAGGGTGGCAAAAGGGCCAAATTGCAGAAGGCTTAAGGGGTCAGGACAAGTACATGTGAACAGACTGTCTGTGAGTTATGTTGGAAGCCACTAGGTGATTTGTGGCAGAATATATTAACATAATCGCATTTCTATGTCAAAAAGATTTAAAACATAAAAGAAGATTCATGGAAAACTTTTGGATGATGATATCCCTTTCCATACTGTGCCTCTTTTTCATCTCTGGAAGAGGCATTGGTAATCCACTCCTTAAAACTCTAAGATAGAATCTAATTTCCAATCTCATTTGACTATAATATTTGGATGCTATTGCATAATACTTAAAGTTTCTAGATTTTTAATCCTTATCTACAAAGCAAATTAAGTACATGTTAAATCATTTTCATACTGATTGATTCACCAAGTGAGTTCAGTGGATGCTATCTGGCTTCCACAAGTAGGGATGGGTGTTACTGAAAGATTTATTACATTTTTTTATGTGAGAAGTCCTATCTATGGATTGCATAAGCCTGATGGCAGGGATGCTCACAAAAAGCTGGTAAGGTATTACTTATTCATGATGTATGATATTTTAATGTATATTCACATTGATAAGATAAATATTTATACAGTAAACATAAATTAACACTTAATAATTTTCATTTTTACCATCTAGTTATTTAGACATTTCACTAAAAGAAAATTAAAGGTTGAAAGTGTCTTTGTGACACTTTTCAAACTGTTATATTTTAATGAATGAACCAGAGGAGTGAGAAAGGAGTAGAACCTTGGCATATTAGTGCTATTGAATTTTGAAATCGTAGGAATCAATAATGGAAAACAGATTGATTAAATATTCATCAGAAATTTCATTTCAGCAAATATACAACTAATGGAAGTGAGCTCTGAGCAAATGAATTACTGTGCATGAAGCAAAGTTGCTGTAGCAATGTAGACACTTCCTCCTGATAACAACCACAGTTTACATGTGCTCGGAAAAGAACTGTTTCTGTCTACACTTACATCCTCTAGCTTAGTCTTACATTCTGGTATGGGGTGGCATATTTCTCAATATGTGTTAGGACATTAGCATTCTATTTTATAAATGTTTCATGAATTTAGTTATCAGGAAATATTTCTCCCTGGTATAAACATTTTAAGTGAAACTCTTTTTTTATTTTAGAATTTCATTTATCAGTATTGTACCCTTCTCTGCCTCAACTCCTGCTGTTCCTCCCCTCTGTGTCTCAAATCTGGGACCTCTTTTTCTTTAATTATTATTATTTTGAAATAAGAAAAGTATTCTGCATAGATAACTAAACTTTGTTTAGATTTTAGCGACAGAACATGCCACAGTAAATTTTTCTGTAGTTTTTCATTACAGGGTTTCTCTGTATAGCCCTGGCTGTCTTGGAACATGCTCTGTAGACCAGACTGGCCTTTAACTCAGAGATCTGCCTGCCTCTGCCTCCCTAGTGCTGGGGCTAAAGGTGCCTGCCCCCAATGGTCAGTGATACCGTAGCAATTGCATTTAAGAAAGAAATTACCTAAATGATAGTTTCACAAATCTATATAAAATTTCCAGGAGCAGTTGATTGTTTATTCTGTTCTATAAGTTTAATGTAAGGATTAATGGGGTTTTGATTTACTAGAACAAACTCTTTTGTGGATTTGTCTGTTTTACTGGAAATGTGACATGTAACATAGTTATTTCCTTGATTATTTGTATTGAAGCAGCTTTTGCATAGACACCCAAATACATACAACCAATAAACTGGCCAAGCCAACCTTACATAAAGATAAAAACCTCTTGTAAATATGATACACAACATTATCTCAAAATATACCATACTTACCCTATTTTGTCAGTGTTTCTGAACATTCTGCTTACATGTTATTTAAGACCATCCATCAAAAAGTCCAGCAAAGAATCCAAATGGACGGTGTAATTCTTGAAATCCTCCCAGGACAGAGACTGCTTTCCTGGAACTTAAAAAAAAGACAGTTCACTCCTGATCACCCCTCTCCCCCGTGAGAGATCAGGAAGACTGAGTCAAGGGGAGGAACAGATGAGAGCAAGAAAGGAGATGCCTTGATAGAGGGAGCCAGTATAGGTTTGGAGAGAGGTCTGGTACAAAGAAAATGTTAGGGATCCACAGGGATAACTCCAACTAAGAATCTAGGCAGTGGCAAAGAAGCTGCCTTTGATGCCTTTCCCCTATCATGAGATTGATGACTACCTTGGTTGCCATTCCTATAGCCTTCATCCAGTAGCTGATCAAAGCAGAAGCAGACACCCACAGCTAAACACTGAGCCATAAATCCTGGAATCCTGTTGTGGAGAGGGAGAAGGGATGAGCAAAGGAGCCAAGACCATGCTGGAGAAACCCACAAAACCAGCTGACCCATCAGTCATAAAGCTGGGGAACCAACATTGGACCAAACAAAGCCCTTTGAATGTGGGTGCCAGTTAGGAGGCCTGGGCAGTCTACGGAACCTCTAACAGTGAAACCAGTGCACAAATGGTCTTTGGGAGCCCATTCACTATGGAGGAATACTATTGCAGACTAGATACATGAAAGGGGGCCTAGGGTCTCCCCCAAATAATGTGACAGACTTTGATGGAAAGCCTCACTATCCTTGGGGAGTGGGTGGGGAATGGGCTGGTGGCATGGTATGCGGCATGGGAGGATGGAAGGGCAAGGGAATTGGGGAATTGATATGTAAAATTAGATTGTTTCTAAAATAAAAAAATAGTAAGCAAAAAACAAAAACAAACAAACAACCCCCAAACGAACAAATAAACAAAAACTGAAACAAACAAAAAAATCAATTCACTATGACCAGCACACATCTCTAATCTGGTACTATCAGTGACACTCAATGTTACTTCTAAAACAACAAAATTTACATCCAATGCAATGAAGAGAAGACAGTGGTCAACCTGAGATTAACAATAACCATTAAATGAATAAAATAGTCCTTAATTAAATTTCACTTGTCGGATATGACATAATAAAAAACACTCATAAAGGTATAGCTTGAGCATATGATACAGTAAAAAATAAAATCAACTAATAAATTAAGAAAATAAACTCAATTTGAAACCATGATAATGGCTTGGTGACTCATTATGGATTTTGTATATGCATTGTGGACATACTTCCCATGTTATTTCTCTGATGCAATTGTCTGGATTCTATTCAAAATAACAGGGAACAACTTGAAACATTCCATAGTGGTAAGCCAGTAAGTTCCAAAGATTAGAAAACAACAGGATACATATTAATTTCTCTTTCTGTTGTGGTGAATTAACATAAATACAGTGGCCAAGACAAAATACTTTATTACCTTGCAATTTTATAGTTTAAGTGTGGCATAGCTTTTCATTCCTTGCCAGTTTTTGATGAATGAATTTGTCTTTTATACCTTCTGTAGACTCATTGGTTCATGGCCTCTCCTTCCATCTTAAAGGTTAGAAATTTTAGGGCTGGAGAAACAGCTCAGTGGATAAAAGCATGTGTTGCTCTACTAGATGACCTGATAATTGTTCCCAGTACTTACTTTGGGAGTTTAACAACCACTTGTAATTCTAACTTTAATGTGTCTGAGGAGCTCTTCTGTGCTCTTCTAGTCTCCATCAGTGTCCCCAACCATGCTCTCACAAGTGTATACACACACACACACACACGCTTTCACGAGCATACAGAGACACACACACAAATAAGGCTATTTTTAAAAGTGAGGATTTTATATTTCAAACTCTTACTTATATGGTTTGATTCCTATATATCATCTTTTAAAAATATTTATAATTAAATTTGACCAGTTGCTTAATTTGGCATGCTGTTTTCATCTTAAGATCTCTGTCATTGTTTGTTTACACCTGAAAAATCATATTTCCTCGCTAAGGTTCAGTACTGACTGATCTCAGGGATTATATGGCTATATATTTTGAAGGTTTACAACAGAGAAAAATTTAGCATAGATTAAGAGGTATCAGAAGTGTAGATAAAAATGTTGACATTTTATTTCAATTCTATAGGCATTATTCACGGGCTTTTGGTTTCCATGTGTACTTATGTATTGAGCTGTTTAAAGATGATCAGAATCAGATATCTGACATCCACAAGAACACAAATAAACTGGCACCTTCAGATCTTTAGATGAATTTAGAATTCTCTGGCTTCTGTCTAGCCAGAATTGGGAGAAACTCACCTCAAATATTTCTAGCTCTTGGAACTAATGGGACTGAGAAAATACCATTTTATAGTTAAAAAGGGCATTTGCCTTGTAATTTATACATTTCTGTTTGAAATGACTTAAATGTGTTTAGTCTCTGGGTATATTGAACAGGACAGTAGTGAGAAAACCTGGTTGCAATGTTTTTAAATATGTGAGCTTAGTCCACGTGGCTTATACTGTTTCCTTAAGTGGTTGTAAGGCAAAATATTTCATGCTATACATGTGAGAAGTAAAAGCATCACATGTTTTATTCATGGTGACTATAAATAATAAGTAATACTAACTTAGACTTTCACACTACTGTGTAGGCTATTACTTTTTCACTTTATATAACGTAAGTGACAGGTGACAATCAAGTAGGTGGCTCAGGAGGTAGTGCTAAGAGTTTACTGTGCCCTGACTTTCCCATTGGTGAGTTTTTCTTCATGTGTGGCATTTTAAAGAACAATTACACGTTCTATTTGGAGAGAGGACCTGGGGTTTGGACAAATGTAGTTTTTACATTTTAGAATTAGACCAGTATATGTTAAATTCTTCAGACTCTTGGGGATGATAAATCAAAGTCATCATTCCATTTTACTTTGAAACAACTCTGGATCTCATAGCAAATTCCAGTTACTCAGAGAAAGTGCTGTAGTTAAAAAACAGTGAGCTTGCTTTTCTGGTTTGTTCATAGACAGAGAGGGAAGCAGAGATCAAGACTTGCTCAATGTCCAGAGTGTCTTTCTTGTTGTTAAATTTGTTCACTTTGGCTAATGTCTTAGTTACCAAAAACACTGTCGGCTAAGGCTTTGTGTCAAGAGAAAATACGACTTTGATAACGGGTAAAAGAAATGATATGTGGTTAGGTTTTCATAGCGCCTTTCCTCAGGGCACCGGTTCCTTGTCAGGTTCATATAATCTACCCCACAGAAGACTATAATACTTCCCAAGAGATCCCTCTGTCAGGGGTCAGCAATAAATCCCTCTTCAGTCACACAAGTTGGACTTTATTTTCTGTATTGCTGTGGGCATCTCACATGACATTCCCAAATAAGGTATTGTACTACAAGCCTGCTATGATTACTAGTAATGACTTAACTGCTTAGGAATTATAACAGTATGAATAACAGTGGTTTGCACTGTGAATGTCCTAGCTACTCCAGAAATGCCAGAGCAACAAATATAAAATGCTTCTCATTTTCCAGTTTGAAAGGAGACAAAGTCAGAAGACTACAACTGCTGCAAATCTGTAAACACTGATTGTTCATTCAGCAGCAGGAAGCAAAACAAATAGGAAACAAGTGGTGGCATTAGCCATTCTGCTATATACAGAGGCAATTACATTAGGGATAGGAAAAGAAGACAGCATTTATATTCAAGTGCAAGGCTCTGGGAGTAAATGGGTTTTGCCTGGGAACTTGTTAAATGGGAAATTCCTGTATGTTTAGGCATTGGTGTTGGGATAATAGTATTACTATTGGTATAGGATTACATTCTTATTTTTAACTGTTAATATTGGACATTAAACAACAATAGCTTAGAGGTAAAAAAAAACTGAATTTGCTACTAATTATATTCTTATCACTGCTTATTTCAAAAAATCCTTAAGTTATATTTCAAAATTATATTTATATTTAAGTTAATTACATATCATATTTAAATTTAAATTATATATCACATTTAAAATAGAAAACTGCCTAAATAAACAAATATTAAATAATTATTTATTGCATGTCGCATGAGCTTAAGTGAAGTAAAGGCTTGTCTACTCATGATGTAATTAATATTCCTATTTCATGTATACACTTTAAAACATCATTTATTTGTTCAGCTGATTGTTGTCTGTTAAAGACTGTAGATTAAATTCAGACTTCACATTGCATTTTAAAGTACAAGAATGAAGTAAGTATCATTCGCTTTGCAGAAGTTAGGTAAATGAGAAAGATTTCCCAACCTAGACAATGAGTTCATTTTTCTTAGCTTCTATAATTACAGAAAGAAAAATATCATGTTGTCTAATGCAGGGCTTTTTATGCTGTGGCAAATAGACTATAATTTACAACTGAATACATTCTGAATTCTATGAATTCAAGGCAAACGTTTTGTGTCTGAGGAGTTTATTTTTAAGCACTGAGGTGTTACAAAATATATGTAACTAACTTGATGATTTTCGCATATCCACCTGCTGAGGTTTCCTCTTTACCTAGGTTTTATCCATCAAAGTAATGTTAATTTGATTTTTATTTCTTCCTTTCATGACAACACAAGGTCATCCACTTGTCTGAATATCTATACTACTTCCCAGGATACTGTACATCAAACAGTGTAAGATAAACTCAGGACAGTGAGAAGAGTAACCGATGAAGCTATCTGCAGGATAGGGTCAACTTCCATGGTTGCATTACCCATGCAGACTCATTGGCAACTCGCCTACCAGATGGACTCCAGCCTTGGGAGGGTTACTGCTCCAGTCCTCAGAATGGTGTACCCTCTCATCTTTCCCCTTTAGGTTTGAATGGCAGTTGCTTGCCTAGGGGAAAAGAAATGACTTACACTTGGGATTCTTGAATGATTGCCAGAAAGGAACTACCCTGAGAATTGCCATTTTCCAGGTTCCCATAGTGTGCAATAAACCCAATTAGCTGAACTAAGGCTTAGGAACTGGAAGCACAACTGGGAGAATTTTATAACTACCAACATCTTTATCTTCCAAGGGACAGGAATAGAGAGCTCTATTATATTCCATCTGACACCCATAAGAA